GTCACAATAACTTGAGTAATTAAAGAAAATTAATTCAAAAAGGAATTTGAATTCTGTTATTGTTGTGTCAGACCGTCAACAAATATGCAAACTTTTTAAATTACACAAGAAACGTCCAGCCTGAATAAAATTGTCTCGTACAAAATATCTCACTTACGCGAATTATACGTAAATAAAATAAAGTAGGAACTTAGGTTATCGTCTCAGATTTGAATCCAAAGCAATCTTGACCAGACACGATGTCAAAATTTTATCGCTGATAAATGAGGTTAGTTGGTCACGTGTGGGTCAATTCGGCTTCTGTATTGGTAGAGCAAGTCCGATAACATTTAATAAACAAAAAATATCGCTAGAATACATAAGAAACCATGAAAATGATCGATTCTGATTGGTTCTCGAGATCAAGAGTGGAATAGTCCTCGATAAAAACGATATGACAACATTATTTCATGAATTTTCTTCTTACAATTTTCTCGCCTTCGTTTCAGATTTTGGATATTTCATATTTACAGCTAGATTATCGTGTTTTTAGATAGAAAATACTTCCGGAAGAATCCATATCTTCAAGGTTAGATCATAGCGTGTGGGTGAAAGATTGAACGGTCGATCCAGTGGTACAATTAACCTGGTTTCCAGGTTGAATGAAAAACATTCTAAAAATACTTTTGTACGAACAAGGAACTTAACTGCCTATACATGATTTTTTGATGATGTTTGCATCATGTATAAAGTTTACCGAGTTCATGGGCGTTGTTTAGGAGGTCAGGAAGGGAACAAAATAGTATATTATGTAAGTGTGAATTTGAGTAACAGTTTTTCTTTTTCTTCTCCATAATTTCTCACTTATCGCTCAGGATGAGCCTATTTAGACTCGAAACATGTACGATGATGATCTGATTAGGTAATTTGATTACTATTAAAATTGCGAAGACGACTGTGTGTTCAGATTCCTGGTTATTGAGATAATTTTTCATTCATTTATGTATACAATTTCTTTATTCCTGTTTTCAAAATCCTAAAATACATTTCATTTCACAAAATTTTTCGGAATTCCCACTTCTAGTTTCTATGGATGAAAATATGTTTTTTTTTTAAATAAATTTGTAGCAAGGAAAAATCAAATGATATACATATTGACAAAAAATGTCATTGTCTCTCTATCTACAGGGTGTATTTAAATAACACCGAAACAATTCAAGGGGTGTTTCTTTGTGACATTCTAGCAAATAAAGTTTATATAAACATGTGTCCTAGCTTGCTCCGTTTTTGAGATACAGGATGTTGAAGTTGGAAGTAGAAATCAGTGGCGGCTCGTGACTTTCATGACAGAGGAGGCTGAATGATATGAGATTTAATGTGAAAAACAACTCTCTACTCACCCAAATCAATAGCTTCAATGATATTCTGTTTACCAGTTAACCTGAACTTAATACTTGAAGAGATGTGTTCCTGTGATTTGCAGTGTCTATCCAATCCGCGAGGCAAATTTTTCAAATCATTATATCCTAATCGCCCCCAACATGATGACTTATCGGATGAAAATAATACGCAGTACCAACAAAATAGCTTATTCCTCACCTCAGATCCCGTCAACCAGATATATTTTTTATAATTATCAGAATTGAACGAACGATTTTGTTTGGTACCTGTTACAATCAGATTTTTTAATTCCGGTGTCGGACGTTTGTTTTTTACAATCAATTTATCTTCATAAGACAAAGCACTGAATGGGTTCACCAAAGAGTATTCCATTAAATCGCAACCAATAACCTAATATAAACATAAACAATGCACTCGCGTTTGTCCGTAATTCACAAAGCGACACGACAAACACGTGCTATTCGGGCGTATTCGGGCATTTGCATTGCGCGCGTAGGTTGCACAATGTGACGGAGTCTAGCCTCCTATAGATGTTGCCAAGTTGAATATTTTACGCGTGATTTGCAGACTTCAACGTGTGATGCGTGGGCAAGCACTGTTGACAATCCAAAAATATTTAACTAAAAACAGGAAATGTATTTTGGTGTCCTTTCAATGAGAAAGTATAGATAATATTAGTTTAAGGAAAATCTCTGAGGAGGCTCAACCTCCGTTGCCTCCTCGAAGGAGCCGCCACTGGTATTAATTGTTTTTATTTATAACCCCCTGTATGAGCGATCATGGTACCAAAATTCAGTATGGATGGGGACTGAGGAAGCCCCAGAATTTCAGAATGATTCTAATTGGGGTTATTGAGTAATCTCAATGGAAGTCTTGAAAACACCTACATTACAATTTTGAGTCAAATCGAATTTTCATTGTTTCCTAGAAAAATAAGCTAGATACAAAAATCACACAAGGGATAAAAAAGTTGTTATTTTATCAGTTCAATCTACCACTCGATCTACCATGAATGAATGAAGAAGTTCCATATTACTATTAACAAAACACGTTTCATTGAAATTGATGAAATGGCAATTGAGAATGAATAGAAAAAAGATTTTTCATGGAAATATTAATACCCTGTATCTCGAACACGAAGCAAGTTAGGACACATGTTTATATCACAAGGAATCACCCCTTGAATTATTAGATACACCCTGTATATATCTCACCGAAATAAGTTGTTTGGCAAAAAATTGCTCATATAAAATAAGATAACGAGGGTACATACAGGTATTTAATGGTTTGAAGGAGACTTCAACTATGAAACATGAAAAAAGTAAACACATTTTCTCGAAAAAAAAGCAGAAAAACCGTTATAAGCCCAGCATCAGATACCCTACAGTTGCACTATTTCATCAGAAACACCAATCGAAAACCTATTTTAACATTTCCAACCTATTAATTATCTCTTTTAAGTGAACCAAAAAACTTAAGGAGTGAAATGAAGCATCAGGCTAAACAACTTTTTTTGGCGAGATATACAGGGTATTTCACGACGAGCTTACACTATCTCTAAATCGAGAATTAAATTGAATTAGTCGGGAGAAATCTACGCTCTTTTCACTTAAAATATTTTCAGAAAGGCAGAATTGCCGCTTCTATCAAAAAGTAGCATCAACTTTGTTATCTCAAATAGAATACCCGGTATTTTACTGCATTTTTAGAGGCTCGCTGAAAAGTTGATTTTATTGATACATCACACTTGGGGTATATCGGAAATAATTACAGAGATATAGGGTGTTCATAATCGAGATTTTTCAATTTTAGGATTTATTTGTGTGACAACTATTTATCATCGGCCAAAACGGCTCACATATCCCTATCTCAACTTTTGATTCACTATTTACTGATATTCAATCGGAACAGAAACAGAGTGATCAGAATTCTGAATCTTGAACAACCCTGTATGCGCTTTACGAGAGCCATTAATTTAACAGAGGCACTGTATACAAACCCTACGTCTGATAAATTTTCAAATCCAACTGTTCATGAAGATTTCGAGAATTGAAAAATATACATAGGGTGTTACATCTGAAACGAATGTCGTGGACATCATAACTTAAACGTGGATCACCTTGTATATTTGATTGTTCCATATATATGTGGCATAAAAATAAAGTATCCAGTACTTACTTCACGGGAGCATATATAATTGAACAATTGCAAGATACCCATCATGTGAAAAATATCTCCATATTCAAATAAAAAGAACACTCACCATTTTGAAATAGATCAACTTGCATCGCCATTTCAACCACAAAAAACATACACTTCTACACAGACACACCTTTCTCACACACACAAATAATGCAGTATGAAGCATTTCGATTCGGCACTGTAAAATAATACAGAGTTTTTTTAAACCAATGGAATCGTCCGTACGCGATGAAATCTAATATACGACTGACGAATGACAGGTGACTGATTCATCATCCTGATTACTAATTAGTTACGTCACTCTTCTAACCGATTCCTGAACAATAAAATTTTATCTATGACTGAATTTGATACGGGAAAATAGTTCTACAGGGGGTGAAAATGATTTAATGTGTTCATACAATGAAAAAACAGAGAAATTATTTTCAGTATAAATCGAGTATACAAGGTGAATCTGGAAGTGGGGTTTCTTCAACAGGATATATAGGGTGTATCTAAATAACACCTAAGAATTCTAGGGTAGTGACATTCTAGCGAATGAAGTTCATATAAAAATATGTCCTAACTTTCCGTTTTTGAGATACAGGATGTTGTAGGTGGAAGTATTAATTGTTTTTATTTACAACCTCCCCGTATGAGCTTTCATGGTGCCTAAATTCAGTATGGATGGAGACTGAGAAAGCCCCAGAATTTCAGAATAATTCCATTCGGGGTTATTAAGTAATCTCAATGGAAGTCTCGAGAACACCTATAATAAAATTTGGAGTCAAATCGAATTTTCATTGTTTCATAGAAAAATCACACGAAGGATAAAAAAGTTGTTATTTAATAAGTTCAATCTGATAAAAATATGAAACTCAGAAAAACCGATGAATATTGATAAATGTACCAACTGTGACGCCACTGGAAATATTATTTCGAATATAATTGCACTAGAAGACGCTCTATAATTCTATCAACAAAACCACAACGTTTTATGAAAATTGATTGTAAGACAATTGAGAAATGAATAGAAAAAAGATTTTTCATTGAAATATTAATACTCTGTATCTCGAAAATCCTAAAATATCACAAGGAATCACCCCTTGAATTTGATGCTATTCAGATACACCCTGTATAAGAGAAATCTTTCACTGAAAATCAGTGAAACTTTGTTTATCCTTAATACAAATATATCATATTTTCTTGCTATTCTTATTATTCTAACTTTCAGATAATTTTATATCAATTATAACATAATGAGAACTTTGAACTGAAGATTCAAAATTCGATGTATAGATATTTTGAAAACGTATTGTTGGAATCGAAATATTCTCTTTTTCAAATAAAGATGTGATGAATGTCCTCATTCCTGATATTCCAGAAAGAATGATTTCGATGCATACACCGTTTTCTGTTTTTGTTTCAGATTTAGCAAAATGATTAACGTAGCAGGAATCATATCCATCATTTTGTTTTACGTTTTGATTTTGGGCGTTGGAATTTGGGCAGGTAGAAAAAAAGAAGAAGGAAATGACTCAGAAGAAGAAGTCATGCTGGCTGGCCGCAATATCGGTCTCTTCGTTGGAATCTTCACAATGACAGGTGAGGTAATAGTTATGTATGTATCAAGGGCGTAAAGTAGGCGTATATGGCCTGCGGCGTGAATAATGGCCCGATGGCGTCAGCCGATGACCATTACACGCTGAAGTCCATTCACGCATTTTACGCACGTGACGCATACAAAATATTATGCACTAGTGGTTTATTTCCCAAATCAAAAGTATTTACTCAGAAGCAACATATAAAAAAAACTAGATTGTAATCCTGTAGGTGAAAACTTCAGACAATAAGAAAGCAATAATTATTCGAAGAAATGCGTTAGTAGAGTGAAGAAGAACATGAATACAATATTCCCCTGGAAATCAAAGAATCAGCTGAGAGTGCAAATTTTTCAACAAGCTTATTATATGCGTGTAGAATATTATACTTTGACCACGACTACTATTGTCTTTGATATATAAATTAATTTTGAACAACTTTTTTATCATAACTCATTTGACATTACGAGAACTGAAAATTGAAGATACCTGTTATATTAATTATTTGTCCACGACTGTTGTACTTCCTCAAGCAGAACAATAGCCATTTTTCACACCAGTGAATAATAGCGGTGAATAACCAATATTCACTGGTCTTAAGTTCCTTATATGTTATATCGCGTACAGTAGGAACTCTAGACCAGTGATTTATGGTTATTCACTGCTATTGTAATTAACCCGAATTCATTGTTCTGATGTGAGATTCACAGAAGTGACACTCAAATCTAGTAGGTTTGAATGTATGTATGGAATGTATTGCTAGTGGTGAAAAAAATTATTATACACCTTAAATAGTAGTAAATAATATTATTTCCACGAGCGATAAAGTGCCACTTCACGTCCGCAAATCTAGGGAAAAAAGAAAATTAATTTTGTTTATGACCGTGTACCAACATATAGGTACTTATCCTTAGGGTAAATGACGGTTCAATTCCTGAAGAATCCGATAGTGACTAGTCATATATCTATTTTTCATTGTTTTTGTATACAAGATACGATACTTATTATGAGAAGTGTTATAACACTTGAAGTGTTATAATTGCGCATTGTGATCATTATATCCATCGTGTAAGGTGTGGGAAAGTGATGTGACATGTGTAGTGAAATTGTGCTACTGCATTCTGACTATTTATTTTATTCACAAAATTTATTCTCTATGTTATATTTGAATTTCCAGTGTGGGACGATGGACCTGATGTACCTCTATTTGAGATCACCTATTTGCGAACTCTTACTCAAAAAAGTTAAGGGTCGTGGTATTATCTCATGGGTGGTCTAGAAATTCACCAATGTCCTTGTACTACAAATCTTTCAAGATCCGGTAATTTTCCATTCCTCTCAACTCCCATGTTCCAGAGTGGAAATACCTATAGGTAATATTTTTTTTATGTTCTGGTTTCCACGAAAAGGGATATCCTGTAATGTTCAGAGAACATCGTGAGAACCAAGGGAAATAAGGTAGGAATTGGTGTTCTTCTTTAATTTCTGGAGGTTATATGCCTTGGGGAACATCTCCCTTGGCAATTTGCTCCAGAGCCTCGCTGTTTGTTGGATGAACGAGTCTTTGGAAAGCGATGTTCTGCAGGTCTTCAAAGTGACCACAAAGGGGTGCGGAGCCTCAACTCGACGGGTTAATCTCGCGGGGACTGCCAAGGGAGGAACAATTGTTGATATTTCAGAAGAGCATCGTCCATGAAAATATCTATGAAATAGAGCCAGATCGCCAACTTGTCTACGGTGTTCCAGAGAAGTGAGTGAGTTTGTGAGTGAGGCATCACCGACGAGATGCATTGCCCTTTTTTGGACAGAATCCAACAGTTTCAGGGTATGTTTGGGTGCTGCACTCCAAAGTGTATTGCTGATAGTAATACCGAGCATCTAAATGGCTGTTCTCATAGGTATGGTTACTCCTGACAAGCTCATGTTGGGCACAGTGAGATCGGCTTTTCTAGAGGAAAGGCATGGTTGTGTTTTGTTTGCATTGAAATCTACCAAGTTATTGGATCCCAATTCGAGAATTGTTACCAAGTCCATATTTATGTTGTCAACATTTCTCCTTCGTTCGTTCCTGATTTGCCTGGTTGGTATTGGAGCCGTTTCCATTAGAATAATTTCAGAATCTCTTCAAAATAGCTTATATTCGTGTACCAAAACAATATGATTCCCCACGGCTGTTGTGATCTTGCGAAGACTTTGATTCGAACACTTTCTTCGTTACTTTCCAGCAACCTGGGTGGGAGGAGGCTACATCAACGGCACCGCCGAGGCGATCTACACCTCGGGCCTCGTCTGGTGCCAAGCCCCGTTCGGCTACTCCCTCAGCCTGGTCTTCGGGGGCATCTTCTTCGCCAACGAGATGCGCAAGCAGGGCTACATCACCATGCTGGACCCGCTGCAAGACTGCTTCGGCGAACGCATGGGCGGATTACTGTTTCTGCCCGCTTTGTGCGGCGAAGTATTTTGGGCGGCCGGTATTTTGGCTGCCCTGGGAGCCACCCTCAGCGTGATCATCGACATGGACCATAGGACAAGTGTTATCTTCAGCGCATGCGTGGCTGTGTTCTACACTCTGTTCGGCGGATTGTACGCTGTGGCGTATACCGATGTCATCCAGTTGTTCTGCATCTTCATAGGTAACACCGGTTTGATACATTCATAAAAAAAATTCAATTATGCAAGGTGTTTCAGAGTTGTAGTGACAGAAGCCTAGGGGAGCCGAGATATAGGGTGTCAAAATTAAAAAAAAAGAGGTTAAGAGCTAAACAAGCACCAACAATAATATCAACGTTACCACAGCCGTCTTCAACTAACAAGCCGTGCTGAGATACTGGCAACGTCGCACGAACGGAAACCGTCGGTCCCATTCGAGCCTAGCAATACAATGGTTTTTATATGAGCGCGAGCTTTGAATGTTTGGTTTAACGTAATTTTCTCGGATTATTTTGTCGAATAGGTAAAAAATACAGGAGAGTGAACTTACAGAGTGAAGAACGAGGAATAATGTGGTTGAATAATTCCGAGAATAATTCCCTTGGTCATGAACTGAAGCCGTAATTTTGAACATTTTGTTAAAATAAAACTTATGGAGATATCGAATTTTTCATTCATATCTGAGTGTTTGTCAGTTTGATCTGAGATGTTTTTGAATCTAGCTAGAATATTTTCAAGTTGTGACCATCTATTCAATTTCATATCATGAGTAAGAATCCATTTCAATTCATTGAATACAAGTTTATTATCACCAAGAAAAACTTGGACCTCCATCTCATTGGATATTATAACTTGAGAAACAATTTGTGAAGTATTCACATCATTGGGATAAAAAACATTTGCTTGCAAATCTAATTCATAAAAATACAATTTATCATCAGTCTTATGGATTTTCCAAGTATCAATTTCAACTTTCTCAACATATTCCCTAACTAACTGTTCATAGTTGTGGATGAGGTCTGATTTTTCAAACTGTTCTATTATATTACTTTGAATATCTAAATATTTCTGACGTCTTTCATTTGGATCAGTTCTTGATGGTTTGGCTGGTTTTGAAAAATATTTTGGTAAATTTGGAAAAATTGAAGGAACTGCTGTTTTGACTAACTTTGGTGCTCGTAACAAATTTTTTCCAATTGATCCATCTGGCAGAGGGAATGTATCATACCTGATGATATCTTTTTCAATAAAATGAATTGCACATACTGTAGAACGTTGAGATGGTGTCCAGTTTTTTCGAGGTATTGCTGTTATCTCGCAATTCTGGGAATAAAAAAACTGAGACATGATCCTTTCCCAGCTTTTTTTCAGAGCTGTAATTTGACTTACATCCTGGCACACAACAATGAAAAGGCATATTTTATAAGGAATAATGAATAACTTACTTATTTCCAGGAGTAAATTGAAAAAACAACACAAATTCCCTTGAAAATACACCAGCACTAGTACACTTCACTATAACCTCCAATTTAACACAATTTTGAATGCACTTGCCACACACTTTCAGTCTCGAGTCGATTCCTAATCGTTGCTAATACTTTTAAAATTATTTGATCTCAATACTACACCAATTAATAATTGAAAACTTTAAAAAAACCTTCCATAAACTCCTTGTTTACTTCCTACACAATACACTTTGAATGGCCGACAGGTGCAAGTTCGGTCGTTCGGACAATGTTGCCAGACTGCTTCTTCACGGCTTGTTAGTTGAAGACGGCTGTGATGTTACCAATAATATCGAACTAGTGATTATAAACTGTCAGAATATCAGATTTTTTTGCACAGCCTACTTTACCGCAGCTCATGAATCAATAGTGAAGAATAAAACGAGCTCTCAAAAATTTGCAAAACTACAGACGTTATTCTGTCGAATGAACAGATCTATCCATTTGACTCTAATGATGTTGAACTTTGAAGACTGTTATTATTTTGTGAGATAATTGGATTTTGAATTACAAGTTCAATAAAACTGATTCAAAATGGAGCCGGGTATATCAGAAAATAATGATAAAACCTCTGTCAAATCAGATGCGCAGTCGTTAAAAGTTGGACATTCCATTCGTTTTTCCCTGCTTTCTTCAGATATCGAAACAGATCTACAATATTTTGCCATACTTACAGAGTGTTGTTTTCGATATAATAAAAGAAGTTTTCTGTGTTTCCTCAACACGGACCTGGATTTTGATCCCGAATTTCATTTAGTTTTGATGTGAAATATGTCCACCAAGTATGGATAGCTTATACAAAGTGGTTCAAAAGCTATGACCAGATGATAACGTCCTTTATCTCAGTTATCACATCAATGGGGGGTGATTTAGAACAATAACAGTGTCCTCTCTCTACAAACATCCTGTAGAATGGACGTGTATTAATCAATATGATTCATTGAAATTTTCTTCATAAAAATTATCATCATCAGAACAGAAATGATGCATATCAAAACTGGTTTAAGGCCTCTGGATGTGCATCCCGTTCGCCTGGAACAGCGAACACGTGGCACCGCTCTCCTCCATGGAGGTGGACTGGATCGGGGAGGTCAAACGAGAGGAGATCTTCTACTACATGGACTACGGGCTGCTGCTGGTGTTCGGGGGCATCCCCTGGCAGGTTTACTTCCAGAGGGTGTTGTCGAGCAAGTCGGCAGGCAGGGCGCAGATTTTGTCATACGTGGCGGCTTTTGGGTGTGTGTTGATGGCTATACCGCCTGTGCTGATTGGAGCAATTGCCAAATCTACAGGTGAGTGGATATACAGGGCGTCCCAAAATTGCTGGGACACAGAGCTACCACGTGTAGAGGAGGTGAAAATGAGTTGATTCGACCCAATTTATTTGAGTGTCAAAATGTACCGTTTGTCCGTGAAAAGGGTTCAAAGTTCACATAAAAAAATAGCTATTTATGTATTTAGAGCGCAAAGTGATAGATTGCTGCTCGACAAAGAAAGTTACCGCGCGATGCGGAGCGGAGCGCGGTAATCTCTGAAGAGCGGCAATAACACTTTGTGCTCGAAATACACACAAGATTTTTTCTACTAACGCAGCTTTTGGAAATAACTACCCTGAAAGTATGAGCGATTGAAATAGTTGAAAAAGTTCTTATCCATATTATCCCATATGTCCAAAGGAAACAAAAAAAAGAAAAATTGAAATAACTGACAAGCCAGAAAAAAAATGTCCGGCCTACCGAGAATTGAAACAGGACCACCAGCGTGGCAACCTGAGCTTTAGACCTCTGAGCCATAGTACGATAAACTCTGTAATCAAATTGAACATTACTCATTGATGCAATAAAATAAAGATACACTGTCTTTCCGATGACAACAAAGAGTTTAAATATAAAGTAAAATTCATCGTTTTCAACAGATATGCTTCATGTAGAAATTTGTTGGTATATATCTTCAGCGGTGAATGTTTTGGATTTTTCTCGCTTTATATCCAATAGATTGTTTCTTGAGAAATGCGATAAGTTTCAGATACTTATTGATTCCGATATTATCTTTAACATTCAAGCATGTATACATACCATCGAATATATATACCAATGAGTTGATGACTTTAAAGTCTTTGATTTTTTACCAAAATATGCCAGTAAAACGTTTTCTGAATACACATTCACCATCTCGGAGTGGCACCAATTTATGAATGTATCATATTGTAATTCATATTTATTTTCTTCCTTGATTTCTCCGGTAAGAGATTCAAACTCTTGCGCTTTCTGCTATTTATCATCAGGAAGGAGGTGTGTTTGATGATTCACTGTCACTATTTTTCATCATGACAGAATTGGGGGTTTTCAAGAATAGGTCGCGTGCACGAAGACCGACCCTGGAGGCAAAATATTGAAACACAACCTCATTCTTCTGTGAATTATTGAAACACTCACTTTTTTATTTGGTTACAGAGGAATCAAAAGGTTGAAATAGTTTTTCACAATATTTTGGCATACGAATCGTGTTTCTTGCGTTATTCATTAATTCAAGCATGCCTTCGCATTGTCCTGTTGTACGATGCACAAAATTTGCAGCAAGAGACTAAGGAATATGATTTTTCAGGTAAATAGTAATCTCACATAGTTAGCATTATGAAATGTTGTCATTCCTTATTAAAATTCCTTCTGCCTTCTGCCACTTCTGCAATACAAGCTAATGCTGCTAATAGATTGAAAATGTCTACAACACACACGATCGTCAGCATGTCAGACCAGTCCTACCGATTGATTGCATGAATCCAATCTTCTTGCATTATTCTAGAAATTTCAGGTATATTTCTATTAAATGATCCTATTGCAGAAGGAATTCCGATGAGAAATCAGAGAAATAACCAAATTTCAGAAATGAAAACTATGTGAGTGACTATAGTAGGTACTTACTTTTGAATCATAATGTACCATCCGGATTTCTTCATCTTCCGCTGCAGTTTTTGTGCATTTTACAACAGCACAATGTGATAGCATTAGCGAATTGGTGAATAGCGGAAAAATACGATTCATATGCCAAAATAATTGTGGAAAACTATTTCGATCACTTGTAAACAAATATGTTTTGCCTCCAGGGTCGGTCATCTGACAGTTCTTGCACGCGACCTATAGATAAGTATAGGTTACAGAGATGTGCGAGCGTTTTTTCAATATTTCCGCTCACGAGCGCAAATGCTGTCAAAGAATGACATTTCTGGGAAAACGTCAACTTTGTGCTGGAATTTGAAAGCGTCAAAGGCTACTTTGTTAAGCGTTTGTAGAAAAACACATTTTTGTACGCTGTTCAGGAATAAGTGGAACGAATTTCAGAGTATAACTCTCCTTTTGATAATCGGAGATACCTAAAAGAAATTGTTGAAGGGTTAAAACCACCCTAACCCCCTGACATTTTTTTAAGAACTTTTTTAGGGGTCATAATACGGTTTTGATATTTCCTGACCTCGAAGACTAATCGATTACCTGCATTTTATTACTCCTGTGAGAATTTCGTTTACCGCATAGTTTCGAAGAAAAAAATGTTCTCTCAAATAATGCTACCAGATATTCCCAGTACAAGTTTAATCAAATTGTGATATAAAACTTTGTTGGCAGTGGAAACGAAGGCAAGTCGTGATTTTGACAGGAAACAAATTTATTGTTGTTGACGTTGTCTGTAAATGTTTCAATAAATTCTTAAATTTTTTTATTACCGCGTGTACCATTACCGACCATTTATTTATTATTATTTGATTGTTGTTATTTTAACTGGAATCAAATAGGTATATGGATTTCTCTTATGATGAGCAGACCGATATGATCTTAGTTCTTGGATTCTGTTAAGGTAACTGTCACAGAAATGTCAAAATATTGTTTGAGTAACTTGAAGAATTGTGTGTGTGTGGGGGGGGGGAAGCAATATGGAATTCTGACAGAAGGAGAACATTATTCGTTATCTTCAATATGGATATTACAGGAGAGCAGTTCTTCGTTGTTACCAGAGGGAGCCTTGTGTGAGTCTGATGGGTACTCTTCTCTTCAACATAGAATGCAAATACGGAGTGTGGTATAATTTGTTGTACAGTTTATAACACATTATAACACTACTGCTGATTCTTCGAGTATCGAGACTGCCTATTGTGAATTGTTTTCGGAGCATCTCACTTCAAATTACATTGAAATTAGGGAAAACTTCATATTTTTTCAGGTTATTTCAACTGTCAAACTGACACTCTCTGTAATTATGCAACAAGTTACCGATATATAACCCGCAAATTTTGAATTACTCATAGTATTACTACTGAGAATGAGAAAACGATCTAGTTTTCTTCAGACCAGATAGCATGAAACTGAAAACAAAAATGGTGTTTGTTGGACCCTCGCTGTTACATTGGTTCGAATCTAACAGAATCAGGCATGAATGATATATCATTGAGTGAAAATTTCTATACACGTCTGGCAAAAATAATTTTCCAATGGAAAAACTGTGTAAGGGAATGAATACCCATATAGATTCATAGGTATTCAAATCGATAATCGCTTCGGTCGGGCCAAAAATTGGACTGGTTCGAAGGAGGAGTTACGGCGCTAGGAAGCATATGTCATGTCATATCGCTTTTTTCTCTCTTCGTTAAAATGCCAAAAGAACACGGTTTCTCTATAGAAAAATTATTTCTGCCAGACGTGTATAAGTACTTCTACAATGATAATACAGCAATAATTTCTGAAACATAGGGGAAAAAATGTATTATTTGTGATTTTTTTTTACAATTTTTTTTACAAATAATACATTTTTCCCCCTATGTTTCAGAAATTATAGCTGTATTATCATATATTATATTCTCATCTTCGACACAGAGGATCTCCTGACTGATTTCTCGAATAGCACAAAATGTGTCAGGGGCAGCTGCAACAAAGATAGTTCGCCAACATAAGATAGAAAGAGATAGGTATCCGTAACCAATCAGGGCCTACTTAGATTAGGCCCTGAACCAATGCGGGTTGCCTGAACAATATTTTTGCCTCACCCGTCGTTCACAGAGGATCCTTTCCAGGTGTTAATATTGAGTTCGTTGCTTCCACCTGACAGTTTAAAGCATTCAAATCGATCGACTTATCCGAATTTTCAGCTTGGAACGAAACAGGGAACAAAGAACCCTACCCTTTGACAGTCGAAGAGACCAGCATGATCTTGCCCATGGTCCTGCAATATCTCACCTCAAGCTTCGTGTTTTTCTTCGGATTGAACTGATCGACTAATTCGAATTTTCAGCTTGGAACGAAACAGGGTACAAAGGACCCTACCCTTTGACAGTCGAAGAGACCAGCATGATCTTGCCCATGGTCCTGCAATACCTCACCCCAAGCTTCGTGTCTTTCTTCGGATTGGGCGCCGTTTCAGCTGCTGTGATGTCTTCTGCGGATTCTAGCGTGCTGTCTGCCAGTTCCATGTTTGCTCGCAACGTCTACAAGCTCATCTTCAGGCAGAAGGCTTCCGAGATGGAGATCATCTGGGTGATGAGGGTGTCGATTTTGATAGTGGGGTTCTTGGCTACGGTTATGGCGCTTACTATTCCATCTATCTACGGATTGTGGTGAGTCATATTCTATCAGAGAAACTATATTGAATGCGGATTATTATATGTACAGTATTATATACTGGGTGACCGAATTTCGAGTCATTCGATCGCGCTGTTGATTTTTTACAGGGGGGGACATTTTAGCTGGGACACGGTGTATACTAAAACATTCCACTTCGAGATAATATGATTCATTATATAGTCAATTGCTCACGTTGGTTGTTATAAGTTGGGCTCCTTGATATGATTTTCCTCCCAAACTATCTTCTGATGGTGAATCCACAAGAATTACTTTTTTGAGTTATCAAAAGAACCTCCAGGTTCTGGTGCGCAGACCTAGCACTGAGATTGAAACCAGCTCAGAGTCTATTGCAATCATATTCATTGACATTACCATTGACTCGTGAGTTATTGGAACTGCTTTCTGAGTCATTGAAGCCGCTTGAAGAACTATTGGGTCCACTTTCTGAACTATTACAACCACTTTTTGGGTCATTGAAACCGCCCTCTGAGCTATTGGAACCGCTTTTCGAGTCATTAGAACCGCTTTTTGAGCTGAAAAACCACATTCTGTGGCATTGGATCCACTTTTCAAGATATTTCAACTAATTTCTGAGTAATCAAAGGCGCTTTTTGAGCTATTCGATCATGCTGTCTGAGCCATTAGAAACAAATACCCCCTCAGAAGCTGCAAAAACGCCTATAGTACTCTTAATTTATCAAGAAACTTAATCTACTTGGTGAATTGTTGTGAACCACAATAGACCTTTACACACTAAGAAATACAGTGTTGATATTTAACACTATCCAACACTAGCTAATGTTTATACAGGTCTCTCTAAATAGTGTTATTTTCTAACACTAGAAGCTACTGTGAATAGCAGTGTTGAGTTTACACTTGATCAGTAGATCATAACAACTCTACCAGTGTGAACCAATGGAAGTCGGTTACACTTCCAGAGTTAAGTCTAACACTAGTAGAGTCAATATCTAGTGTACAATCACACATTCTAGAGTTACTATGGTCTTGTAATTTCTTCTTCAAAATACACGATACTACATTAACATATATCTGATAATTTATGCAACTAACATACACAACAATATAATTAATTAATTGATAATTAAATTAGGGTTCAGTATTGAGCATATGCGGACCAATTCAAGGATTACACTTTCATGAGTAGGTACTCGGATCCCTCAGAACTTGTTCTTTCACTTCAATGCCTTGGGCCAGCAATAACGGTTGACAAGTCTATCGGGTTCTGCAAATAAAAATACCTTTCTGAAGACAATCAGTGGATCTATGTGACTTACAGCATCCTCCAGTTTTAGAGGTGATACGGGTTGATATTTAGGAGCTATATAAACCATCGTCAATATCGCATACATTGCTCGTGTAGTCGTGTATATTAGTCATACTCTGTGAAAATCACAGTTGTTATTCTGAATATCATCGATGTGCAGGAAAGGAATCGATATTCTTATAATGCATCAGTTTTTGTTACATTATGATAATATTTTGATAATGAAAATAAATGTCAATCAACCCTGATTATTATTCTACTCTCTTACCTTGTTTGGATATCCACAACGGCACCTGCGATGAAAAATACACCATGCACCAAACCAGAACACCAATTCAACACTACTAATTTTGATCAACATTGGCCATCACTGGCGTGTTGACAAAGTGCAATATGAAACTATGATTCCTGACGCTGATCATGAATAACTCTGGAAGTGTTGAATAACAGTGTAGATTTCAACTCTGAAAATTTTACACCGAACACTACTCATTTAACACGGATGACTTCTCTTCTCTCACTCTGTACCTAACCTGACGAAACACTGATTATATTTTTCGTTTCAGGTCTATGTGTTCTGATCTTGTATACGTCATTCTCTTCCCCCAACTACTCATGGTTGTGCATTTCAAAGACTATTGCAATACGTATGGCAGCTTAGCAGCGTACATAGTTGCTTTCCTCTTCAGAGTATCCGGTGGAGAAGAACTGTTAGGCTTAGATCCTCTGATCAAATATCCAGGTCAGTACTCACTACTCTAAAAAAATTCGAGGACTCACGATATTATCTCTGATATTTTCCTCATCAGGTTGGGACGAAGAAGGTAGAAGACAACTGTTCCCATTCAGAACGCTCGCGATGTTGATGTCTCTCATCACCCTGGTGACAGTCTCCTGGGGCACCAAATGGGTGTTTGAGAGTGGCAGACTAGCCCCTGGATACGACTTCTTCCATTGCGTGGTCAACATCCCCGAAGACGTCCAGAGGGTTGGAGAACCGATCGAGGAGGGGGAACAGATGTCAATGATGGCTTCAGGTGAGTTCAACGTTTGAAGCTTCAGCACAGATCAGCTAACTTCAACCCATCCCAAGGTGATCTATGGCTTCAGTTTTACTGATTGATGCAGTCATGTTTGTACCCAAACACTCATTACATCATATTTCTGATCATTCTGTGGGATTAGATGGACAACTTTGGTATTTTGATCAGGTTTGACAGCCTCTTCATCGAATGTTCCTCTGGAAAAGCTTCTATTTATCAGAAGGTTGAAAATCCAGGCGGAAGTTCACGATATAGGAAAATGTGTACAGTACAATATAGACAAACGCTATAAAATATGAGATATCATTATCATGTTCGATAGTCATGCAGCCATTGAACCGCTGATCTCTATGCTTATCAGCTCTGAAATGGCTTGGTAATGCCGGGCAAAACTGAACGAGCTTGCTAACAAAAATTCAAAGAAGAAGCTGAACAGCTATTATAGACATACTATATAAATAGCCCACTAGGATAGAGCATTCAGTTTTGATGTTCTTCTGAAGATGCTGACATAGTTAGCGAAACACATATCGAGGTGTAAGAAATCGGTTTCGTTCGTGGTGAAACAGTGTTTAGTGGAATAAGCACGATGATATGTGAATTATCCTCGGAGTATTATTTCTCAAGAATTTCTCTTGCTGCAGGCGCGATGGGTAAACTCTATGGTGCAGCCACGATGGTAGGGAAGGACGAGAGAAACGGTCGCATCAATCCAGCCCTCGAAACAGACGATGAAGACATCCCGTCTGCGGAACTGAGTAGGATCAGAGGACCAGCAGCCAGTGGTGGGGGAGCTAGGTCCATAGTTCCCACCAATCCATTGGACGATGTCCAGTCAACTTTCTGAGGTGCATAACAGGACTTCAGTCTCGAATAATACAGGCACGTACCTCAGGCGATTCGATAGAGGGAAGAGGTGGTAAACACCCTTCTGAGGCATATTATTTATAACTAGGAGAAATCCAACATACTGAAAGTGTAATGAAATGGCAACAAACGGAGAGAAACTCAAAGTCATTACCACATAATAGGTCATGAAATGAACGAAAATACAAGGACTGTATTACATCCTCTCGAATTATATCCTCTCGTAATCTAAGCAACGTTTCGTATACACGAGCAAGTGTTTCTTTTGACTACCCACGACTAACATTAGTGCGGGAGTGTCTCCAGATGGCATTCATGACTGCGAACGTCTCTCCATTTGATACCCATGAGGCGTTCGACCACTGTGAAATGGACACAACGCCGTCTAGGGCAGAAGGAAAGAAACACTCCAAGACTGACATTCCTATTTCGGATAAAAAGAGAGTGGCTGATGGAGAGTCAAAGCTCGGAACCAGTCTGTAGGTAGTCAAGCGTTCCAGAACAATTCAAGCACAACTCAGTATTCGGGGAAGAAACCCTTGCAAATGTATTCGTCTATATGAATCGTTGCATAGATTTCGAGAGGATGTAATTCAATGTTCTGTGTGGCATATAGCCAGGAAAGTTTTTTTTTCTCTCGTTATCTACCAGTTTTGTTCATTTTATGAAATATTTTGGTAATGATTTTGAGTTTTTCCCCCTTTGTTTGTGATATTATTTACTTTTGAAGTTTCACAATGGCTGACCCAGTCAAGACTATGCACTCTGAATGACTCTGGACAACATCCATTAGTGGCTTTATATGGCTTCCCCTCGCCTAGTGGACTACACTATTACCAAATCCTAATGCTGTTCAATAACTCTGTACTTATTATAGATATTGATAGCGAATGTACTAAAAAGCCTCCTATATTTTCGATGAGGTCCAATTTATTCAACAAGTGACCGATCCTTTTGCGAAAGATAACATAAAAACTAGAAAAGAATCGAATAAATCGCGTGAACCATATGAACCATATACAGTAAGGAGTTGAGGACGTAAAAATTCCTCCCCCCCCCGCTTTAACTTTTGAACGGAACAAGCTAGCGAGGTCGGATAAAATTCAGACAAAAAGGTACCTCTTTCACTACTATTTGGCATGAAATGGTTGTGGTCACGTGACCTAGTGTCAAGGGGGCACCATAAACTTTTTTTCAAATTATGAAGAGGGGTCACGTGGTACCTTGTTTTGAAGGCCTTTCTATACTCAATCCAACTCCATTTCGTTTGTGCAAATCGGTCAAGCCGTTTCAAAATGACATGCGTTCGAAATGTTCCTCGGAAACAGTCGGATTGAATTCCAAAACCAATTTTTTTTGTCAATAAGTGAACGATGAAAATTTATTCGAGCATGTTTGAGCATTCCTACTTGATATTCGGTTGCAATTAAGAGTTATTTAGGTTTTTTATTCAATAATATTAATATTTGAAGCAAATTTCAAACGCTTGTGATTTTGAAATAAATTGGCCGATTTGTACAAACGGAGCGGTGTTGGAAAAAGAATCGAAAGGCCTCCAAAACAAGGTACCACGTGACCCCTCTTCATATTCGAAAAAAAAAGTTGATGGTGCCCACTTGAGGTCACGTGACCACAACCATTTTCATGCCAAATAGAAGTGGAAGACATACCATTTTGCCTGAATTTTATCCAACCTTGCTAACTTGTTTCGTTCAAAGGTTTAAGGAGTGAAGGACTTTTTACGTTCTCACATGTATAAATACAAGGAATGCAACATCAGGCTTAAAATTCTTGATACATTGGTTCTTTAGAGGAGTGGAAGAAATATATCTTGAGAATCGTTTTCCTACGAATACAATATGATATGTTACATCATTTTTCCACTGAACCATCTCTTTATTACCTAGGCAAACGTTTGCAATCAATCCAATAGTCGGTTTTATGATTAAACCCTAATTTTTTTGGGGCGCTGAATCATAATCTGGAGTTATCCAAAAATATTTCCTATTGTGTTTTTAGGTATTTGCGAAATACAGCGAATCTTTTGCACTTTTGTTTTCTTGCTGATAGTTTCATAACCACTTTTCCAATCGCAGCACTGTGTTGTATCAGTGCTGGAGATACAACATTTCAAAAATGAGTGAATTTTCCCAAAAAGTGACATTTCAAGTTGTAGGACGATTTTTGGGGTGGATATTAATCGCGATTCTCAAGTCATGGATAGAGGTCAAATGGAATTGAGTTTCCTCATTTCCTGTTCTTTTGCAAGGATTCAACCATTGAATCTATACCCGAGTGGCATTGAGTATGAATTGAATTGAAGTGGGAAAGATTTGCAACAACTTTACTTCTGACTGATTGATCTCGCTGGATCAGTATTTTTCACAATATCAAGCTCAAAAGTTGACCCAAAACTCGAAATTCGGAATAATTTACACATTTTTGAAGTGCTGTTCCTCGGACACTGTTGAACATATACAATGCTGCGGTTGCACTCAGAATGTAGCAATTTTAGTATTCTTTTAAAAACAGTGGGATATACTTTCCTTCTACCACATAATTTTCGAAAATATAAGCTAAAAACCTAAAAAGTTCCGCAGTTTTCTGCGAACACATCAGGAAGTATTGTTGGATAACTCCTAATTCGGATTCATCATCCTGAAAAACATGGAAAACGAGATGAAAGCGACTAGGACATTTTGCAACGTGAATCTACCATTTGCCTGTATTATACAGGATTATACAGGGTGTATCATCTTTTGGGTCACTAGTGATAATTCGCAAATAAAGAAGCAATAACCGCCACACCGATGACTAATAATAAAATGTTGTCACAAATGTGACTCTGAAAGACACAAAGCAGTATAGCCTATCGTTGTATTTTATTCAACATAATTTTTTGGGTTTGTATTTTTTGTTTTTGCGTTATACAGTCATAGACACGCGTCTGAATTCATTCGATAGATTCAGAAGGATCAAGTAGACTGGATGATGTTGAAAGCGTACACCACTCAAACTTGTTCTGACAATTCATGGAGTTTGACAAATTCATTATTCGATTTGTGGTTGGAATTTTGAACTGAAAGTTGAGGACTCTCTAGGAGTTTGCATGGGATATCTACTTGGGAACATGATAGAACCGTTTGTCTGTCTAGGTTTCCCTAATGATATTCGTTGATTTAATAATATCAGATCCTCCTTAATTTTTTTTTCATTTTACCGACTGTCAAAAATGAGAGCAGTGAGTAACTTTTGTGTTTGGGAGATGGTATAATACGTAGACATGCAAGGTTTTGGTTTTTGATGTTGCATAATAAATTGTTAATCTACAAAACATTATACATCGCATAGATATTTTAAGTACAACAATTAAGGTGCTGAATAGTTATCACTGCTGGACAGTTTGATGAAACCCCATAGTATTTGGGCCCAGAAATAACTGAACATATGTTTTACAGGGTGTTTCAACTCTATTGAGACATGAATTTTCTCTGGAACTGTTATCATTTTCTTTTTATCCTTCTCATTGCCGATGAGTCCACATTCAATGATGTAGTATTGAACTCTTTATGAATATAAAATGAGATTGCGTAACGGACCTAATCTATCTTCCGTTCTAGACGAAAATATGTGTTATTCACAAAAAATACTTGTTTACACCAGGAGTTTCTCTTGTGATTTGTTCGGATTATGAGTGTTTCTGTAGTTGAGATCTGACTAATTTTGAAAATATGGAATTAGGGATATCTCTTGAGATAATATTTCAAAAAGAGTTTCTCTAATGACTTTCATTTCTGAACAAGAATGTGATATTTTCAAGAGGATGCTTGTTGAAATGGAGTTGAGATACTCAGTTTATAGCTGGGTCAACTAGGTGGTCCAGATCCAATGTACAGTCGTCTTCAGAGATCATGTCGCACATGGACGGTGTCAGCTCCCTTGATCACCGCTGCAATAAGAGCGCTCATACCGTCCAACTGCGACATGTTCGTTGAAGACGACTGTACTTCCCTATCTCTTTCTCATTTTGATCAGAGTTTTTGTAATTTGGTTCTCCGTTTTGTTGGAATAGATTTGCTATTAAGCAATATTATATCCTAAAGGCTTAAGTGGACGAACTTTACATCCGTGGATTATCCAGGTCGCTATTTGAGGGATTTTAGCATCTCCCGTATAACAAAATTTTGTGTTGAAAATGTGGAAGTATTCCATAACGAAAGTGAATGCATTCGCATAGCAACTCACTACTTTCTTATTTTAACTTCAAATATTTCAGTGCCAATGAGTTTTAGCAAACGTGGATTGTTTGTAATCAGTCAAAAACTACAGAAAGAATGTGACAAATTTGGAAAATCTAATCCAAATGAAAGCGAAGAAATACGGTGGGGTGTACAATAGATCTTAGTCTTAGAATTATTTGGATCATTTGGAAAAGTTTTTTTTTGAATTTGTTCTAACAACTATTCACTCCATCCTATACTGAGCTGAAATTTTCCTGATTACTGCCTGTTGAGTATAATCAGTGTACCTATTCATGACAAAATACATTTAGGTACTTATTTTCATTTTTTCAAATGATACAATTTTCCATTACTTCATCATCAATATACAGGGTGTATCTAAATAACACCGAATAATTCAAGGGGTGATTCCTTGTTATATTTGAGGAAATAAAGTTCATATAAACATGTGTCCTACCTTGCTTCGTTCTCTAGATACAGGGTATTAATATTTCCATGAAAAATCGTTTTTTTATACATTACTCAGTTGTCATTTTATCAATATCAATAAGACGTTGTGGTTTTGTTAATAGTGATATGAGGCTTTTCTTGGTGCAATTAGATTCGGAATATTATTTCCAGTGGCGTCACAGTGGGTAAATTTATCGATATTTATGGTGAATGTCATTGTACGCCACCGGTTTTTTTGAGTTTCATATTTTTATTGGATTGAACTATTGAAATAACAACTTTTTTATTCTGTGTGTGATTTTTGTATCCAGCTTATTTTTTGAGGAAACAATAAAAATTCGATTCGACTCCAAATTTTAATGTAGGCGTGTGTATTCAATACTTGATTACTCAATAGCCCCAATTAAAATCATATTGAAATTTTAGGGCTTTCTCAGTCTCCAACCATACTGA